TTCTTATGATTTATTATCAAATTTATAACATAAAAATTGATTTTTAAAGATCTTTTTTTTGTTGATTTCTCTCTTTTCCTTTCACTTCCTTTTTTTTCTGTTTTCCATTCTTTTATTTTTTTTCTTGCTTCTCTTTTTTTTTCTTTTTTTTGTTGCCCTTTTTCTTTATCTTTCTTTTTTTTCTGTTTTTTTTTCTTCTTTCTATTTTAATTCTTCTTTCTCACTTCTTTCTTTTTTTTCTTTTCCTGCTTCTTTTTTTTTCTATTTCTTCTTTTTTTCTATTTTTGTCCTTTTCTTTTTCTTTGTTTCCCTTTCTCTTTCTTTTTTTTGCTTTATCTTTCTTTTTTTGGAGGTTTTTTTCTTTGTCCACTTAATTCTTTTATTTTTTCCCGTTTTCTTCTTTTTCTTTTTTTTTCGCTTCTTTTTTTCTTTTCCTTTCACTTCCCTTTTTCCGTTTTCTATTCTTTTCTTTTTTCCGCTTTCATCTTTTTCTTTTTCTTGTTTCTCTTTCTTTTTCTTTTTTTTCACTTTATCTTTCTTCTTTTTCAGTTTTTTCTTCTTTTTCTGCTTTAATTCTTTCTTTCTTTCCTGCTTCTTTCTTTTTCTCCTTTCCTGCTTTTTTTTTTCTCTTACCTCTTTCTTTCTGTCTTTTTCTTTCTTTTTCTTGTTTTCTTTTTTCTTTTTTTTTTTCTGTTTTATCTTTCTTTTTTTGAGAGTTTCTTCTTTGTCCACTTAATTCTTTTATTCTTTTCTATTTCTTTTTTCTTTTCCTTTCACTTTCTTTTTTCCATTTTTCATCCTTTTCTTTTTTTCTGCTTTCGTCTTTTTCTTTTTCTTGTTTCTTTTTCTCTTTCTTTTTTTTCACTTTATCTTTCTTTTTTTCCAGTTTTTTCTTCTTTTTCCGCTTTAATTCTTTTCTTCTTTCTCGCTTCCTTCTTTTTCTTCTTTCCCACCTTTTTTTTTTTTTTTTACTCCTTTCTTTTTGTCTTTTTTTTTCTTTTTTTTTTTTCCCTTTTTTTTTCTTTTTTTTTTTTTTTTTTTTTTGTGGTTTTTTTTTTTTTTTTTCTTTTTTATACTTTTTTTTTATACTTTTTTTTGTTTGTTAGTTGTCCTTCAAACACATAATGGGTCCTGCTTTTCTTCTTTTTTTTTTGCTTTTTTTTTTCTTTCGTTAACTAACCCACTTTTCTTTTAGCCCTAGTCGATCTTGAAGTTAAAAATTTTTTAAAAACTTTGTGAAATTTAATCTAACTATAGTACAGGAATCCTTAAATCAGCATATAAAATAGACAATTTTAAATTATTATAAAAAAATAACTAGTATAATTAAACTGTTTTTTTTTTTTTATAAAAATATAAAATAAACCTTAAGGAATAAGGCTATAGAATTTGTTTTTTGATTTATTAAATTTTTATTGTGTTGAATTTTTTTAAAGTTGGTCGACTTTACTAATAAAACCAGAAATTTGGCTGCTTACATGACTGAAAAATAAGGCCACTGATTGGTCAAAATATATGATTGATAGTATATACATACGTATGGTGCAGAAAATTTAAAAACCTCAATCTTCATTCTAAGATGATGTATAAACAAGTAGTTTATTGAAAATAAATTTCTTAAATTATCAAACTCAATAGAATAATAGGCAATAATACATCAAGAATAATATGTACTTAATAGAAGCTGTTTTATGCATATAGCTAAAACTTAAAATAAGCTGTTACCGTATAGCGCGGACCATAGTACCTTTCCATATCAAAGTACCCCCTCAAAAAAAATTATATGGTGGAATGTAAAATATCCGGATATAATATAGAGGATATCTATACTATATCAATTGATTTTTATTAATAGTAAAAAATTTTTATATGAAAAAAA